AGCTGTGCCAGGGGAGGTTTAGGTTGGATATTAGAAAGAATTTCTTTGCAGAGAGGGTGCTCAGCCATTGGAATGGGCTGCCCAGGGAAGTGGTGGATTCTCCATCCCTGGAGGTTTTTAAGATGAGACTGGATGTGGCATCAGTGCCATGGGCTGGGAACCACAGCGGGGTTGGATCAAGGGTTGGACTTGATGATCTCAGAGGTCCCTTCTAACCCAGTTGATTCTGTGATTCTATGACTCCAGGAACCCCTGAGCTCACCCTTGAGCTGTGTCTGCTCTGTCCCCAGCCCTGAAAGCACCGGGTGAGTAACGGGCGGTGCCAGCGGTGCCCGTGGGCTGCTGGCACTTTCGGGGAGCTCTTTCTCTCTCACTTTCAGTTTTCACACCCTGCAGAGTTTCTCATCTCTGGGTTTGGGGTTTTTTTTTGGTTTGTTTTTTTTTTTTTCTGTTCTCTCATCCATCCCTTTAATCTCCTCCTGCCTGTGGGTGCAGATGCTGTGGCTCCCATGTGGTGACCAGGCAGGAGGAGAGCAGGGATGGGACAAAGGGCTCTCTGGAGTTTTGCTCTCTCCTTGCTGCTTTTGCATTTGCCCTTTCGCTTGGCACTGGTTTTGCACCTGGAGAAAAAAGAAGAGTTGATTTTGGGTGACCAGCAGCCTAATCAGTGGGGGGGGGTTGTGTTTCTTTGATGAAACATGATTTTTTGAGTCACTTAACAACGGATTCCTCCACCCCATGCTGGAGAAGCAGTGCCAGCTGGTGGGAATCCAGGCTGAGATGGAGAGGTCACAGTCTGACATGCTTGGGGATACCCTGAGAGTTGCTGCCATGACTCATGGGCAGAGAATGCCCTGCTCAGAGAGGGAACCAGGCCCAAGGACACATGTTTGGTGGGAGTTATTCAAACACTGGTCCCCCAGGAATGCTGTTCCCTGGATTTCACCAGTATTGGCTCCCCCACACTGCTCCTCCTCTGGGTCAGGCACTCTCCTGGCAGTTTAGTTTCTCTGCAGGAACACAATTTAATTGTTTTAATATACTTTAGTGAGGATAAAAAGAAAATAAATGCAGTGTCAGTGGAATGAAGCTCTGACCAAAAGGAGATTATTACCCCCAGGGCTTTGTGGGAAAGGTGGGGAAGGGACCAGCCCTTCCTGCTAAACAAGTAGTGGGAAAGCTACAAGAAAGCTGGAGAAGGACTTTGGACAAGGGCCTGGAGGGAAGGGAATGGCTTCCCACTGCCAGGGAAGGGCAAGGTGAGGTGGGATATTGGGAAGGAATTCCTGGCTGAGAAGTTGGTGAGGCCCTGGCACAGGTTGCCCAGAGAAGCTGTGGCTGCCCCATCCCTGGAAGTGTCCAAGACCAGGTTGGAGCAACCTGGGCTAGTGGAAGGTGTCCCTGCCCATGGCAGGGGTTTGAGACTAGACAACCTCTAAGGTCCCTTCCAACCCACCCCATCCCATGGTTCCATGGTGATTCCAGGAGCGTGGTGGCACCCCGGGGTGACCCGGGTGCTGTGGTGCTGCTGTGATTGGTGCCTGTTGGCACAGGGGGTGCAGAAACCACCAGCTCCGGTGCCAACCAGAGCTTCCTCTGCTGCAAGAGGAAGCTGCTGCCTGTAAAGAAACTTGCTCAGCACAGCCCTGGGGGAGAACCCTCCTGCCCTCGGAGTTTCAATTACGAAAAAAAAAAAGAGATTTTTGGGCTTTATGCAGAGCACAGGAAGTTTAGAGGGGGTTCACCTCAAAGCACGTGAGTTGGGCTCTGGCAGCTGCCACCAGGGCAGTCTGGTTTTCCCACGCTGGAGCTGGGAGTTCACTGCATGAAGCAAATGGAGCCTGGGGAAGGAGAAACTTTGTTTTTTCTGTGTCCAGGCGTTTTGTGCTCGTGGTGACGTCCAGCTGCTGGGCTTTGCAGGGCGCCCAAACCTTTCCCAAGTGGGCTGAGCTGAGCTGCGACCCACAAATGACTGCACAGCCTCTTCCAACCCCAAATATCTGCTGCCAGGGTCTTGACCCTCGGATGGACACGCGGGCTGGTGTCCCTTCTCTTCCCAGAGCTCGTGTTCCAAGCAGTGGGAAGCAGGGTGAGTGGTCTGACACAGTGATGGAGATCCCTTCCCCACTCCCAAAAAACAGATCTCTGTGTGCTTTTGGAGCTGCAGAGCCCCTTCCCAGCTCTTATTCTTGCTTTGGGGGTCAGTCCCCTTAGCCAGAAGTGCTGGGTATTCCAGCAAAATTCCCTGAGTGCCTGATGGGATTTTTCCCAACCAGTGCCTGCCAGGGGGTGTCAGCCCTATGTCCACAGTGGGATGGGGACAACACCTGGGAAAATTCCTCCTCCCACAGCCCTTTCCAGGCAGTAGAGGAGTGCTGAACTGGCTGCCTGGAAAGGGCTCTGTCAGTTCCGGAGATCCAGGGAAACCCTGCAATTCCTGTTTTTCACCCAGCCCTGCTATTTCACTTTTCATTTGGAGGGAAGGGAATGTCCTTCCCCAGATGTGCTGCTCATAGGAGGTGACAATGATCAGTGTGGTGGCCAGGTTCTGCTCTCAGTCCTTCATGGCAACTTTTCCATTGGCAATAGAGCCAGAATCCCAGTTTTGCCTCAAATCCTAAAAGCCAGGGACTAGGAGAGGCTGGGGTGGCTCAGAACCTTTGGCACCACCAAGAACTGGGATAAATTATTTCACATCAATCCTCTTTTTTCCCCTCCAAGGCTCAGAGACTTAAAAAAAATAATATTTACCCACCAAGAAGGAGCTGCTGGTTGATATAAGGGAAGAGGGAAGGTCTAATCCCAAATCTAATCAGGAAAAGCTGCTTTAGCACCAGATTTGGTCCCTGCTGGCAAAGAACCCGGAGTCCCTGCTGCCAATGGCTCTGCCCTGTGCAGGGTGTCCCTGCTCACCCCTGGAGCAGCAGATGGAGGATGGAGGATCCCTCACACATGGGTTTCACTTTGCTTTACAATAAGAGGGAAGAGAAACTCGGTGGGAACAGGCGTGGGCTGCTGTGGGGAAACGAGGGCCGACTGGAACAACCGCCCCCCGGCTTTTCCTTGGGGATGCCCTTGGCAAAGCTGAGCCTCCCTCGGGGCTGGCAAGGATGGGTTTGATTTAAAGAGGTAAAAAACTCATCTCTTTCAGGCTGATCACCTTCCCTGGCAGTGGTGCAAAGCAACGGGAGCATCCTCGGGTGGGCTGGGAACAGGAGGCACACGCAGGAGTTTGGGTTCCCACGTCCTAAAACTTCCCATCTGAACCTGCACAGGAGTTAACTCTCATAAGTTCATTAATGCTTCTCCTTTGAAGGATGAAATAAGAAAAGTAAAACACTGTGTGCATGGTTTTCATGGATTCATGGAAACATGGAATGGTTTGGGTCGGAAGGGACCTGAAGATCGTTTCGTTCCACCCCCTGCCATGGGCAGGGACACCTTCCACTAGCCCAGGGTGCTCCAAGCCCCATCCAACCTGGCCTTGGACACTTCCAGGGATCCAGGGGCAGGCACAGGTTCTGGTTTCCCAGGCTCCCAGTCCCTGGCAGTGCCCCGTGCCCAGGGAGATGAGCTCAGCATGGCACCGGGAGCTGCTGGGCTGGGGGAGGCACAAAAAAGGGAGAAAACCAAAAAAGGGGAACCCAAACCACAAGGCTTCCCTGAGAGGAAGCAGCTGCCTCATAAAGCTCATCCCTGTTCCCAAGGGCTGATGTAATTAATGTCAGCAGGATGTTCTCTCATCTCATGAGAATGATTTTTTTTTTTTTATAATATTACTACAGCATTTCGTGCATTTCCAGCACAGGTGAATTTAGGACCAACAGACAGACTCAAAAGCATGAAGAAATATTATGGGATGAGACCAGCTGGAGGCAGGTAAGGAAAATCAAGCAGAATTTCCCCTGGATGGCCAGGATTGACTGAGGAAGGGGAGTGTGACTGGGACAGGACACACCAAGGAGCAGGTCCTGTCCTGCCCAGCTCAGGGAGCACAAAAAAATCAAAGAGGTAAGAGCTGAAAACAAGCTCCAAAATTATTTCCAAACTGCACAAAACTCTGTGCCCATCCCTTGACCCAAAGGTCCCTTCCAGGGCCTAAAGGGGCTCCAGGAGAGGGACTTGGGGCAAGGGATGGAGGGACAGGACATGGGGAAATGGCTTCCCACTGCCAGAGGGCAGGATCAGATGGGATATTGGGAAGGAATTCTTGGCTAGGAGGGTGGTGGGGCCCTGGCACAGGTTGCCCAGAGAAGCTGTGGCTGCCCCATCCCTGGGAGTGTCCAAGGCCAGGTTGGGCTTGGAGCAACTTGGGCTATGGAAGGTGTCCCTGCCCATGGCAGGGGTGGAACAGGATGAGCTTTCAGGTCCCTCCAACCCAAACCTATTTGTGATTCCGTGATCCCTGCAGGTGACATTTTCCTGCCCCAGCCCATCCAGCCCTGAGCTTTCCTTGACTTTCCAATCATTTGAACATTTTGTCCAAACGAACGGGTTTTTTTTCCCCCAAAAAAATTACGGGCAGAGGGACACAGACAACACCAGTGGCTGGATGCCAAATCCTACTCCTGGGGTTGAGCAGTGGCCACTGTCAGAACAGAAGCTGCTTATTACTGGCCCTGCTGAGCTCACCCCGAGTGACCTTTTTCCTGAGAGCCCTCTGAGCCTCTGTGGGGGAATTCAGCTCCGGGGTTGCAGTGCTGACACCAGGAGTCACGAGTGGAGCCCTGTAAATGCCCCATTTGTGGGAGAAAAGCATCAAAAAAATTAAAAAAAAAATAAAAAATTGAGGCAGAACAACCCCCCAAAATCCTCCTCAAGGACAGGGCTCCCAAAAATCCCACGCTGCGAAGAGCAGCTCTTCCCTGTGGATATACAGAATTAGTACAGCTGGTGCATGGATAATGTGGGGAGCTTGGGGGCACCTCCATCCCCACACGGATGCAGGGCTGGGAGGTGTTTTTCCTGCCTGCATCAGGTATTTTTGGTGAGTCCCTGGCTCAGGAGGTATTTTTCCTGTTGCCCACTGCGAGCCTGTAGAAGGAAAACAGTTCTCAGTTTGGCATCTGTGGGACATGGTTTGTTTGGTGAGGACAAGGAGGGAAAGGAACAATAAAACCCACCCAGGACAGAGGAGACACAAAGTGGGGCCACTCAAAACTAAGTGACAAAATACATCTTGCCCATGACAAGAGCTCAGAAACCACACCAGAACCTTCTGTTTTAAAAATATCCTTTAATCCATCAATCCCACAGCATTCCCAGCTCAAGCCCCCAAGAACAGAAGGGGGAAAACCAGTGGTGGGTGACTGGAATAACAAGTTCTCTCCAGCAAATTAAAGGCACTTAGCAAGGGAATTCAACTCCAGCCTGCCTGGGATGCTGGACAATGCCAGGGATGATGCCAGGGCTGGCTGTGGAATTCCCTGGGGCTTTTTTTCTTTTTTATCTACTTTTTCTCTTAAAGCTGAGAGCCACTTTTTTGTATTTGGGTTTGGTTTTTTTTTTTTTAAGCTTTAAAACCAGCAGCAGGAACCTCCTCCTCGACCCCCAGAGAGCCACTTCTGATGGAGGCACCGCATCCCATGGGGATGGTTTTGGGTTCAAACACTGCAAATATGGTGGTTTAGAGTCAAAATATATAAATCCAGCAGGTCTCCCCACATGCAGGGAAAAGCATTGAGCCACCCAGAGCTACAGGGAAACCAACACCCCCCAATATATATATTTTTTTCTGTATAGATTTAAAAATAAGGAAAATAGGGGTTGACATCATTTTGGGCTGCAGGTGAGGGCTCCCAGCCTAATCACCCCAACATCTTTCCCTGCCCAGCAGGAAAATGGGGCATGGGCCCCATGGGGGCTGTGGGACAAGGACTGGCACTGGAAATTCCCCAGGAAAGGAAAAACAACCCTAAATTACACCAAACCCCTGACCCAGCTCCACCAAACCTTCCCAAGCCTGCCTTTCCTGCAAAAAAAAAAAAAAAAAAAAAAAAGAAAAAGAAAGGGGGAAAAAAAATC